GCTNATATAGTAATTAAACTAACAAGTGATATTGCTATGTGGTAATCTTATCAATTTTTTTCCTGATTATTATTTTTTTTTATTTGTGTTCACTGATTGAAACTGTTAGGTGTTTGGATTAACCATACTCTAAAAATAGATAAGAGAGAGTAAGATAGTTTTGCATTTCATTGTGGATAGAAATATTGTGAATGGAGGTTGATGAGTTTCTTTGCTAAAGTAAACTAAGAAATTGAGAGAATTATTGAATTAGCGAAATTTTAAGTTTTCATTTTTTAACACTTTATGGCTGTAATATGAATTGTAATAATAAAAATTCTTCTAGGAAACTTCAAGTGTAGTGCTATCGTTTTCTTAGTTCAATTTTATTTTTCTTTTCTTCCTTTCTCTCTAATAGTTTCGTTTCTCTTTTTGTGGTCCAATGACACTTTAAACAGAATACTATATTGTTTTGACTTTTACATTTTGTAATATAGATTATTCACTAAATTATTTAAAATGTTGTTGGATAATTTAAATATTAGATTTATTTAGAATTTTGAATTATGTTACTTGGGCTTGGTCTTGAGCTTAAGTGGGTATGGGAAGCGGGGATGGGGACGAGGACGGGAATTAAAAATTTACCCGTAGATGGGGATGGGGATGAAAATTATATCCGTTAACGGGTGTGGACCGGGGATGGATAGAGTTTTTTTAAGCAGGTACGGGGATGAAGACTACACTCCCCGCCCCCACTTCGGTCCACTGACATCCCTAGACGCTTCTCTCCCTTTAGCCCAACATAACCCTTTCTCTATCTCTAAAACCCTTGCCTCTATGTGACGCACAAACACAACACAAGGAACAAATCTTTGTCTCAAGAATGTTGACACCGATCACACCGCCCACCATGACAAGCAAATCTTCCTCTTGGTTCTCCCATGGGTTCTCTCTCTCAACGTTCTTGCGTCTTTCACCCTCATACCCAACACATCTTCCCTCTCTCAAACCCTAGTACACACGTAGCGCAAAACCACAAAAGCATACCCCAAAATTGCTCATCAATTATCTGAGTATCAAACCCCCAAATTTTGGACCGATGAAAAATTAGGTTTGAATTGGGCATTAGATTATGATGGTGATTATGATTCCCTTTCTCTCCTCGTAATTCTCTCTCCCTAATTTCTACTTCGTTCTTAGAAATTGTATGGGTTATCAAGATTTCGTGTTTTTTTTTTTATGGTAGAGGTAGCAATGGTGGGGTTTGGGTCTGTGGTGGTGGTGGTGATGCTGGTGAGCTTAGCAGTTGGCTTTACTTTGAGGAGTGACTGTGTTATTACTAGATGATTGAGTTGGCTTTACGGTGGAAGTTGTGTAGAATAAATTTTGGAGGGTGGAAGGGTAATTGAGGTGGTGACAGTCATCGGTTGGCCTGGGGAGTGCAGAGGGTGGTGGAAGGTGGAAATATACAGTATGGATGAGACTTCTAATTTCTTAAGGGGGACAGAGAGGGAGGGAGAAAGCCAATTTTTTCTTTTTTCCATTTTGCCATATATTTTGTCTATAAAATACCAAAAATACCCTAAAAGATATGCACGATATGCACGTGACAGGCACTTGGTGTTTTCCATCTATTTTTGTGACGACAGTTAGTGTCAATGACCAAATTGACTCAATGTTTGAATTTTGGAGACAAAATTAATGAAATTAAAAAATTAGGAATGAAAGTGTAACAAATAACAAACCTCAAAGATTATTTATGCAATTTACCTTTGTATGTTTCTCTATCTTTAGAAAATTATGATGACTTTGTATGGTATTGGCCCATTTTATTTTGGTCACAGTCTCTAAATATGAGTAACGATATGTATCCAAACTT